AATTGGACCCCGTGTTAGGGCCTCACCAGTTTTTATCCTGATTCATGGTGACAGTGGCCCCAGCCCCTCTGCAGGGCGGCTCAGAGCTCACCAGGCATCTGCAGAGAAGGCAGCTCGGTTTTCCACCTAAGCTTGTCTGGGATGAGGAGGCCTCATTTATAGAATGGATGGCACTCAGGACAGAGACAAGCCTCCAGCCCTCACCCCTCTGCCCTGGCAGCAGGGAGGCGACTGTGGTGGTCCAACCACGGGGCCTGTGGGGAGAGCCAGCTGAGGTGGGCCACTATTCTCTGACAGAAACCCAAATGCCTTTTCTCAGAATTTTGACAGAATAAAAGAGATAAGTTATTTATCATGTAGCATTGAAATAGCAGATGGTGGCAGGTGACAGAGACCTGGTTGGGTGGAGGGGCTGGGAGGAAGATGGCCAATGTCTTGCAGAAGATTTTGCAGAAGGTCCATGCAGGGTGATGCCCAGGGAGGGCCCCGGACAAGGACCATTCTTGGGGAAAGAGAGACAGCACTCACGCTCCAACCTCTTCCTGCTCCAGGGCTGAAGTCTCTGGCCCACGGTCAGGCCAGGCTTGGCCCCTTCTGTCCCCTGCATTCCCTGTCTCTCCACCATGCCAACCCAGCCTCTTTGAGGCCCCCAGAGTGCCACAAGCTCAGTCCCGGCTCTGGCCTGGTATGCAGGCCTCTGTGACACAGGCGTGTCTTGTGCCCATTCCACCCCAGGCAGCTTCTTTAGGGTGCATGTATTTGCACACTCACTGGTTTATTGTGTCTCTTCACTGTGCTGTGCCTTCCTAGGGACAGCAGCTTGGTTTTGCTGTCACCTGTGCCGCAGGAGCAGGTACTCAGGAAGTGTTCACTGTGGTGGGAGGAAGGTTTGCGACAGTGACGATCTGCAGCACCCACTGGCAGTTTTCCAGGCCTCCCTCTAAGTGGTTGATGCACGGGAAAGGGCTGCCATCCTCGCTATAGTGAGGAAACTGAGGCACCAAATTACTGTACTGTGACAGCCCAGGCTTAGGATCTGACTGACTGGTTCCTGATGGTAGCAGAGGCAGCCCTTGTAAAATTTCTCTGCGCAATAATCCTCAGTATGGCCCTCAGGCCCCCCTTCCTAACCTCCTTTAGCCTTGGGGAAACTGAGGCACAGCAGTATTTAAGGCACTGCATGGGCAGATGCAGTTCTCAGGCAGCAGGGGCAAGACTCTGGAGCCTTCCTTTCCTGGGAGCCAGGAGCTGGGAGATGCTGCCCAACCTTGCCTGCTTCCTCCATCCGGGTCTTCTCCTCCCACCTCCTGTGGAGCAGCCCCATTTTGTGTGCATCTGCAAAAACTCATCCAGGCCCTGCCCTGCAGCTCGTGCCCACCTTCCTTTCCATGCACACAGCCTCTGTTGAAAATAACATAATGACAATGAGGCAATTCTCCCAAAATGGAGAGAACCTTCACAAGAGTCCTGGAGCAGGCCTTTCATTCCTGCTCGGGGACTGGATGACAAGTCAAGTTCAACACACTGACTGCACAAGAGATGGCATCAAGCTCAGAGAAGCACTTTCCAGGCATGCACAGCTGACCTGGAGCGAAAGGCTTTCCCTAAGTTTTTCCAGCTGGTGAGTACCTTTTCCATCCTGGGGAGGTATCTTAGGAGCTCTCTATGGACCTGCAAAATCATCCTGCTGCACATAGCCTCAGGAAGCAGGAAAAGGCAGCAGCAGCCCTGGCTCTGTCAGCGGGGAGCGATTTGGCACTTTCAAGTCTGGGTTCAGCTGAAGCCAAGGAGCTGGCTTACCAGCCAGAGGAGTCTGCGTGAATAAACAATGGCTCATCTGAGCATGGAGACGGCCCGCAGGCCTTGGGAAAGGCCAGGGACCCACCATATGGCACGACATGCCCACGCAAGGTGCAGAACAGTAAGCCAGGCGTGCAGCATGTGATGGCCCGTGTGTGTAACGCGCAGAACGTGCAAGGGTGTGGAGACGAGAAGCCGAGGGTGGCGGCCAGGGCCCGGGAATAGGAGAGTGGGGGCCGCTGACTAACGGCTACATATTTTCTTTTAGGGATGACAGAAGCAGTTGGTAAATAGTTAAGTCATGGTAACATAGCCCCCAAAATGTACTAGATGCCACTGAAATGTTCACTCTCCATGAGTAATTTACATCCTCTGTATTTTATCTCCGCAAAGTTTTTAAATGCTGTGGATAGAGTGCCCTCCCCCCGTGATGTCAGCAGAGCTTATGCAGCGAAGGAAGAAGTTAGATGAGTTTTACTTGTAACTCTCTGTGCTGTCTAAAATGTATTTTTACAATAAACATCATTATTTTAAAAATCAGAAAGAAAATGTGTTTTGCCACTTCCATTTAAGGAGAAAGAATCCAATGTGCAGAGCTGCCCCGCTGTGCCTGCCCCTCTCCAGGCGGTCACCACTCTTTTTATTTCATGAGTAAGAGCTTTACCCTTTTCTGGAATGTCCCAGCAGCAACTTAATGGCCAGACCAATAAAATGTACCCCAGGACTGGATTGCTTGCCGGAGGAAAAAAGCCAATTTTCCTTTAAGCATTACTTTCTCTTCCTCTGGAATTTGGACGTCAAAGTTCTAAAAATAAGACTGTCCCTGGAACGCAGGACTTGGTTCAAGACTCCGGACTTTCTCAGGGAGACGCACAAAAGACCAGAATCTCACGAGACTGTAAACTCGGTGTTGTCATGCACCTGAAGGCCTCCTGCAGCACGCCATGCCCGCTGTTCTAGAAGGTTCTCGTGCGCTTCCCTCCGTCTCTAACAGCACATTCGTCAGTGCCAGGCCTACCGCATTTCTGACGCTCGGCGGCAAGGGCAGTGCGCCCGGACACACCACCTCTGTCTTCTCACCGGTCTGCCCAGACAGGGCCAGAAACCACACACAGTGAGACACAGGTGAAGTGAGCCCCTTGCTTTTCCTGTCATCTGCAGAAGTGGTGAAAAACTGGATGAATCATGCAGCCAACAGTAATGTAGCTGAGAATTGTGAAGACAAAGCCAAGAGAACACCCCTGAGGGGATCTCCGGGCACTGCTCGGCGAAAGGCCCCCTCCCTCTGCTGTCCCCCTCTTCTCTTCCTTCTTTTACTATCTCTGTCCCTCTTTTTTTTAGAAAATGAGTACGATTGACAAAGTAACATGTATTAAAGGTGTGCAGCATCACAGCTGACACACACACACACGTGAGAGGATTGCTACAATCAAGCCCAGCAGCACAGACCGCCCTTCTTAGTTTCCTGCACGTGGAAACATTTCGGACGGCACAGCAAAGACGTGCTCTTAAAAACGTGCGCAACATCTCACTTCCGGAAACAGAGCACCAGTCTAGGGAGCACCATTCTAGACAGCTTCTTCCTGGCTCTACTCATTTTTTTCCCCTGTCTGTACTCATTAATGCATTTTTTGAAAATAAAAAGTTGACAATGCTGTATATGCTGCTTTTTTTTTTTTTTTAACGGAACCGGGGATTGAACTCAGGCCCTTGTACCTGCCAGGGAAGCACTTACTCCATCCACTGAGCCACCCCTCTGGCCCCCTTATGTGCTGCTTTGTAACTGGCTGTTTCACTTGACAGAGCGCAGTGGACACCCTTCACTCCAGTGAGATGCATGTCAACGTCATGATCTCTTATCGGACTAACTTGTGACTTTTTCCATCCCCCATTACCTTCTCCCGGCCCAAGGCAGTGTGTCCGCCTCCTCCAGGAAGGCTTCAGGGTGTGTCCTCCCTGCTCCAAAAGCCCACCAGCACCTCGCTTCCTGCTGTTTTCTGCCTCCCATGGCCTGCCTGTCTCTGCCCTCCAGCACATGCCCAGCCTGGACAGTGGGGTCTTGGAGGCCCAGAGCAGCCTCAGTATAGTCTCCTGTATCCACCATATGTGGACTCATTAAACTTTGCTCCTCCTTTATCTTCATCATCTGGCAAACTCCTATTCACCCTTCAAAGCCCGAGGCCAATGCTTCCTTCTCAGAGGACCTGCCCTGCCTCCCCTGGGACAGAGCCACAGCAAGCTCCTCTTTGTCTTCACTGTGATCCCTCACCACTCACCCCAGGCCACACAGGATGCCGGCTTAGCGGCAGGTGCCAGCTGAGCCCGAGTGTACTGGATGGATCCAGCCCTAGCCCAGAGACCCGGTTCCTCCCACGCCATGCACCTTCACACTTTAGAAGCCTCCCGAGGCAGCGACCACTCCACGCTAAGTTCTCGGTGCGTCTCCAGCCTTACCTCGTCCCTCACACACAGAGCTCCGGGGACGCCACTTAACCCTGTGCCCCGTCCACTGCGCAGCCTGAGCCTGGGCTCTGCACTCTCAGGGAGCCTGAGTCCACCCTCTGCGCACCTGCTCCCCACCGGCCTCTTCCTGCTTTACTTCCTTGGCACTCAAATGCTGAAAGCACAGTTCCTCTCGCTTATTCTCCTTTGCCCTCACGGTGGGGTGAATTCCCAGGCCGGGCTCCGATCCCTGCCTTCCAGAGCCCAGGACAGCGCCCGTAAACAGCGGTGATAGAAATGTCTTTGCCGAGAGGAACGCACCCTCTGTCTCCTGTGGATGAGCTTGGGAGGGCTCAGAGATGCCACCCACTGTGCCTGAAGTCACACAGCTGGGGAGGAGTGGAGCCTCCTACCCTCACACCCAGCCACCTCTCCAGCATGGCTGCCACTGAAATTACTAAGTGTAGAAATCCTGCCAGTGTGTTGCCTATTTCATGTACATGGGGTGAGGGACAGCGCAGACAAAACACCGCCTGCTTCGGGCCTGTGGACCCTTGAACAGGGGCTGATTTTCAGGAGGGGCAAGCATTGGCTGCAAGTCCCTGGCCAGGAACCATCCTGCTGCACGCTCATAGTGTCTTGGCCCCCGCCTGCCTGCACAGGTCAGAGGACACCGGCAGGATAGCTCAGCCAAAGGTCCCCTGCTCCGGCTGCCCCACCCACAGAGGCCCCCCGTGGCTCTAGCTCCAGGCACTTACGCGGGACCTCTCCGGCAGCCTGTCTGGGAGGGCGGGCTTCCAGCTGTCCTTGGCAGAGCTGGCTGTCAGGAGCTGCAGGAGACAGAGAGCCCAGAGGACCTTCCCTCTGCAGCTGCCCATCCTGCGGCCGACGCAGGGCGCTTGGCCAGCAGAAGACCTTGCAGACGCTGGGAAGGGGCCTGGAGAAGAACAGAAGTGCGTGCTGAGCCTCGCTCAGCTCTCTCCTGGCTCCTGCGAATTGTCACATGCCCACACCCCTACGGCTTTGGGCCTGCCAGGTTCCTTTCAGCCCGCCGCCCTCTGATTGCTGTTCCCAGTCTCTGACCCCCGCAGCAGCAGCAGCGGCTCCAGCAGCTCTAGCAACAGGAGGAGGGCCCTCCGGCTTGCTGTTCAAGCCGCTGGGAGCGGCCCTGCCGCTCTGCACTCTTGCTAGTGAGCTGTCCTGTGGGAAGGCGTCTCCTCTGTCCTCTGAGGAGTGCGCAGGCTGCAGGCTGGGGCCACCCAGGGTGGGTGGGACTTGAGCACCTCGGCCAAGTTCCGGCTGGCCCCAGACTGTCTGCCCAGGACAGCCGCGAGGGCACCAGCTGCCGGGTGTGTGGCCGTGGAGAGCCTGGGCTCCTACTCTCTGGCGTGGGCTCTGGGACAGTCTCACATGCAGTCAGCTTCTGTGCAGTTCCCTTGACAACAAGCCTGCAAAGCACAGCTGGTCACATCCGTCTCGAGAGTACCGTCCAGGTTAGTATATGCAGGGACAACATCCACACTTAGAATCTCATAAGCATGCTCTGTGGGCTGTTCTCATGCCCAGCTGAACAGGGACTGATGTGACACCCATCTTACAGATGTGGAACAGAGACATGGTGTCTCTGAGGTCCACCTGAGGTCACACAACAGTGTGGAGTGGAAGCTGGAAGCCCGACTCCTCCTGTCACTGAGGGAACAGGCGGGAAAGGTGCAGGGCCCAGGATCTTAGAGTGACAAAGCTCCAGCTTCCTAGGTGGCTTCCAGGAGTGGCCCTGGCCAAAGTGGCTCCTCCCTCCTGCTAGCTCACCTCACACCCTGGCTGGTACCATCCACCCCTCCTGGCCTTTGGGCAAGTAGTGATCGCAGCAAATGTATCTCCTGAAGTATATTCCCTTTTGGTGCAGGGAAGCCACGCGCTGGCCTGCAGACAGGTGCATCTCTGGTGTTCGTGCAGAGCTCGGAGCAGCCCAGACTTGGGTGCTTCACGGCAGGACTGAGCAAAGCTCCCAGGAGCAGAGGAGTGTCACCAGCACTGTGTCCTGAGATGCCTCACCTGCCTTTCCATGGTCCCACCCCAGTGGAAACTTTAGCCTGGGTTCTAGAACATTCCCCCATTTCTTTGTCCTGAAATGGTGTGCTGAGCTCTATGGCCCTGCTCCGGGTAGCACACTCTCTGCTCAGCCCACCAGCTGTGGTCTGCTCCTATCCCATCAAGGCTACTGCTCGTGGAGAAGTCAGACATCCCCAGAGGCTGGGCAGTGGGGCCCGCCACTGACAAGGACCCCATTGTGCCTCAGTTTCCCCATCTATAAAGCAGGGGATGGAAGCAGCAGCTGCCCCTTAGGCTGCCAGGGTATGGGAGGACAAGGGTGGAGGCCTTGCTTGGGCAGGCTCCCTGAGGCTGGCTACGTGCCATCCGCATGCTCCCCTTGCAGTCAGACCCCTCCAGACCCCACCCTTTGGGGAAACTTCCTGCCCAGTTTTCCTGGGGTAACCGCATGTCCCGAAGCTTTCCATGCCCGCCCCTATCCTTGTCTTAAAAGTTCCATTCTGCTCCTGGCCCATTTCCTGCCTCTCTGTCTGCAGGTGGCCTCATTTCTGTGGGGGTGCCGTCACCCCTCACACCCACCAGGTGGGTGCTCAGCCTGAGCTCGGTCTGTCCAGTTGCCTGGCCTTTGTCCTACGAGGTCTCCACCCCATCACCTCTCCCCTCTTCAAGTCTGTGTTCCCAACTCCAGGACTAGATCAAAAGCCCTGGGTACCTGCTGGCTTCCTGCCCCTGCAGCTAACTCACAGGGGACCCTCCGTGTTCATTTGCCTGTCACTATCTGCCCCCACCCCCAGAGGCCAGCTCTGGCTGTCCTTCTGCCAGCCTCTTTGTCCCCTGCACAGCCAGGAGGCATTTGTCACGAGACAGAGCTAGGGCCCATCTGGGCTGGCACTGTCCATCCCTCTCAGCAATCCCTTGTCACAGGGACCAGTGACACGCGACAGGTCCAGACTCAGATCTGCCCTATGCAGAACATCTGCCCTGCTCTTTAAAGACTTATGAAAACAGGTGACTGTATCCTAGGAATTTTTATATGGGCTGCGAGGCTGTGCTCCGTATTTCCAGTGTTTGGCTTGACACAGTGTATCATTACATGAATTGTTTCTGCTTTCTCTTTTCTAGAGAAGGGACTTTGACACACGCAGCTTGCATTCTGTTACTCCCAAGCTGCACCAGTCTGCGACTCTGGCTTCCCTTCCAGCGCTGAGCTTGGAGTGCCAGGGCTGTCGCCCAGCCACACAAAGGGCACCCTTGGCCTACCGGCCACTGCTTCCTTGTTCCCACCTCCACTTCTGGGCCTCTATTCAGAGTCTCTAAAAAAAATAACAATTGGGTGGTTTTCCTGAGAATCAGCATAAACCATGCTTCTTGGAATTGGGAGAGGAAAAGAATGAAGAGAAGCTTTCAAATACCTCCAACGTCAGCTTCCACAGATGACCCACAGAGCCTTCCCCTGCTGCCTCTCGGAGAGGGACGGCTGCCTAGGCCAAGGGCAAGGCTGGTCCTGAATACGGACGCCGGCCCCGCCCCGGCCTCCTGGCTGCTGACCTCAGGTGAGTCACCTGCCTGTCTGTGCTTCGCTGTTCTCTCCTGGGGGTAGGAGTAATGGGACCCCCATTTCCTGGGGTTGTCCTGAGGGTCGAGTGAGCATGCGTAGGAGACAGTGCTGTGAGCACCGCTGTCCTCATCTGCCTCTGACCTTGTCAAGGCCCAGGGCTGTGGGAGTCCACCTCTGAGTCTGTCACAGGGGCGTCCATCATGGGGCAACTTCTGTGTCAGGCACAGAGCTGGGCTCCGTACCAGCAGCCCTGCTCCCCTCATCTTGCCCACTCTGCTTGCGCAGGGGCCGCGAAGGGTGGCCTGAGGACGCTACCCTGTGGCTCCGAAGACAAGGTCAGGGCCATGGGCTGAGGAATGAAGGGGCCTCTATGAGCTGCGTCCCTGTGAACCTCTGCTGGCAACGGAGTGCAGCCTGGTGAGACTGCCCCAAAGACTTCCCAGCTGTAGAACAGGAAGACGAAGGGGCTGTGCTGCTGCCAAAGCAAAGCCGCCCTTCGAGGCAGCTACAGGAGAAAGTGCCCCGCCCCCGCCAGGGGGCGTCGGCTGATAGGCGCTGCTGCGCCCTGACACCTTCACTGAGCCTGCTTTGAGTAGCATGGGATCTGTGGCCCGGATGTATTTGCTGGCCATAATCCTATGAGGACCCAAGGAACCTTCCCGATGTGTACAAGTGAGGGCCGTTTCCTGTGGGGCCGGGCAGACCTCTGGGGCTCCATGAGTGTTCCACAGTGGTGTCTCGTGGGGGCTCTGATCTGCCGGTTAACTCCTCGCAACACTAACTTATCAAACAAAAGTCTGTAAGACACAGCGGGTCACCCACCACTCAAGGAAACCCCAGGCTGCAGGTTCTGTGGGAACAAACAAGCTCAGAGAGGAGAGATAAACACAGAGCAGCCCCTCGGCCCCAGGAAGCAGTGCTCCCCTTTGATCTGGGACTGGGCTCAGTCTCAGCCTGACAGCCAGACCCACTCTTGGCCACACTCTCCCGGTTCCTGCCAAGCCCCAGGTCTTTGCCCTTCCACTTTATCTGAACTGTGGCGGCCTGAACCTGACCCCATCTTAGCCGGCTGTCCTCTGGGCACCACCAGCCCATTAGTGCAACTTCCTATGGCGCCAAGGGCAGGAAGGCTCCCCTGGGAAGCCTCAGATGCAGGTCAGAGGCCCCAGCCAAGGCCCTTCTCCTTCAAGGAAAGAAGGAAAGAAAAAGGGTGCCTTAAAAAATACAACAAAACTGGGTATGGTATTGCGTGCCTACAATCCCAGCACTCAGGAGGCTGAAGCAGGGTCTTCCAGCTTCCCCAGTGGAGGGCTGCAGCACCCAGGCACTTGCCCCGTTTGTTGTTGTTGTTTTGCGTGGAATCGCTGCATCTATTACTTCAGTTCTCCGACATTCCCATCTATTGAACACAGAGCTCTGGCAGAGGTGGACACGCCCCGTCCACCCTTCCACTTTTCTCTTTCTCTATTGTGGTGGTGCAGTCCATGCTGTGAATGCATGCGGATTACCCTGCCCAGGAGGGCTCTGTCCACCACCAGAAGCTTTCAGTCCCATTCCCCCCACTCGCCCAGCACACTGCACAGGCCCTCTGATTGTAGACAGGATCCCCAGGGGCTGCTACAGCCTCCGGCTGGCCCTGGGCACAGGCCGCACCTCGGCAGCTCTCAGCCTGGCTGGCGCTCAGCAGCAGCGGTGTCCTCTGGCGCTGTGGGGCAGCAGAGGATCCAGACTGCACCCGTCCACGTCCTTGGCACCCGCTCATCCCAGGCAGTGGGGCCTGGCTCAGGGACACAGGGAGCTCCAGGAAGCTGGGCAGCTGGCCCACAGCCCCACAGCAGCAGGATGCCGGGCAACTGTGGCAGGGGGACAAGCACACTCAAGCCTGAGGCCAGCGCCAAGTCCTCAGACAGCTGCTGCCGCCGTGCTGTTGCTGCCGGATTCCCCGGGCACAGGGGCATCCATGCACCCACAGCGGCAGTGGCATTCCCCCAGGCCCGCACCCCTGGCTCCGTGCTGCCCACGGTGCGCATCAGCTCCTGCAAATCTGCCACAGTGACGCAGGTGAAGTAGGCTGCCATGGCCCATGCCCCGTTTTGATTTTCTCTGCAGCACGTGTGACTCGGGCATTTTCCTGGTTCATGCTCGGCTGCGGAGGAGTGCAGGTCTTGCCCACCTGGCTCACTGGGGACTCCAGGGCCTAGAGCAGGACACAGACATTGCAGGAGCTCCAACATCAGCTGGGTGGACGGATACCTGAAGGAAGGAGGGAAAGATACAGCGCTGGGTAGGTGAAAAGGGGTCGGAATATGGAAACAGAGAAAGATGAAAGTACGGGTGGATGGGAGAATGGGCGAGTGGAAAACCCGGGTGGACAGGCGGGTGGATGCAAACAGGTGGCTGGAAGGATACACGCATGAGAAGATGATGGAAGAACAGCTGGATGGAAGGACAAGAGATGGCTTGATGT